TTTATATAAAGAGAATATTTTTTTTCTATACACAGCAGAAACTAATTATTGTAATCACCTTGGAACCTGCATATATTCATATATGAATAATAGTCAATAAAACCAGAAACATTTGTTATGACATTACAAGGCTGCCTGCCATAAGTTGACATAACTTTGGCCCAAAACTCTGTCATTGTTTAATATTTTGAGCATATTTTGACACTATTTGATTAATATTGTGGCAATATTTGTTTCATATTGAGCATGAAGTAGGGGATACATTTAAGTAAGTTGGTTAAGTTTTTCATGTTTTTAGTCTAAAAAATTATTGAAAATATGAGACAAAGTTACCATGCTGTGAGGTAACTTTGTCCCTGATAATATATCTAATTGATTTGAGTGTAATATATCCTTGAGCTGATGTTAGTTTTATACAAATTAACATGTATATACTGTATGTTATTAATACATCAGATTGTCAATCTCAGAAACAGAAAATTGATTCCATTTTGAAATCACTTTTGGAGAATTTATTTTACCAAGTATCTTCTCATTTGTATGGAATATAATCCTCCTTTACAGACTGTCTCCAACACTTTGAGCCTTTTTTCATATAATTAATAACTGGTCCGTCTTTGGAGATGCAAAATACAAACTGTAGCTATGGGTTGTTCAACTTACACATTGAAAATAAATACTCTTGTAAACAACAAGCTTTCATAAGTAAAGGTAGAAAATTAACATTATTGGAAAATAACTAAATATAATATGTTTACACAGCAAAAATGCCTTTGAAGAACATTATTTGCATTGTTATGATAAAGGAACTAAGAAACTAAGTTGGGCTAATGTTACTCCAGATCTTGGGCCAAAGTTACCACAAGGTTTAAAGTAGTCAATAGAAAATATGTAATAAATTTAATTTTAAACATTAATTACTTAGTAAACAAGTCTAAAAAAATGTACTTATCAAAACATAAAGACTCAGAAGTTGTAGGAAGTATATATTCACTAATGAAAACATCAGAGGTACTGTATGCCTTGGCAAAAGCTTGAACTACACAATCATTCGGCACATCTAACTAGTACTGTCATCTACTTTTTTCATGTCAAAATTCACTGAATTATGTAACATTGGAAATAAATGTTTTCTATTTTTGGGTCAAAGTTACCCCAACTTAAAATTATATCAAAATGATTAAAAACGATTTAACTTGATTGTATAGCAGTTGTAATTATTAATTACAGTAATCATAAATCATCCAGTATATAATTGAAGCAAGAAATGCCAGCAATTTAAGTCATTGTATTGCATGTAAGTAACAATTAATACAATTACTTCTTGATGTTTAAAACACTGGTTACAACTGAAAAAATAACAAGCTTAGATGTGCCATTTACCTGATGATGATAACTATAACTGAAACTGACTACAATAAGTGACTTCTAATATACTATTGGACAGAAACTTTATTTTTAATTTCAACTATTTTTCAGAAAAAATACATAAATAACACTACATATAATGTCACTACAATTTAGCTGATATTATTGTATTGATATATTTTGTAAGAACAATAAATAATTCATCAATTAAACAGCTTGAGATGTTGGGAAGCATTTATTTTCTATACACAAATGTTTTCAGCCTAATGTATAGAATCAAATAAATGCTTCTCAGCAGCCAAGGTGTTTATTGAATTATTCTTTCTGCTGAATATTGGTTTAGTTGACTAATAAATAATTATCTTAAAAAACTTTATAGAAAGCTCAAGCATTTTCAGGCTTTATGCTTCAGAAGGCAATAAGAAAAAATTATTTTGCTAACTCCTCATGAAGATAAGTGTGTGAAAGTGCTTGAGTTTTCTAAAAGCTTATCTTTCAAAATAAAAATAATTTGAATTAGAATTATGTTTGATGGGCTTCTTCCACAAAGACATCAGTGGATAATAGAAATAACTTTGTTTTTTCCAATTAAATATCAATAACATTCAGTTCAGTAACTTCATTTTTTTACTATAAAAAATTTAAAATAAGCCATAAAATTAGACATGCAAAAACATTTTTTTAATATTTTAGAATGTACAGAATATACATTAAATATAATAGATATTAAAAAATCATTAATTTTAGAGTTATAGAATCAACTAATTGATTTTAAAATTTAATTAATCATATCCAAATGGTCAGGGGTCCTGTTTCAGATTAAAAAAGATGAATTAGATTAGCATGGTTAAAATTTTGCATTTACTTGTGCTATGCACTCAAATTTTCAAAATTCCATCTGCAGTCAGAACTTCAAAATTCTCTTATTCCACGACAAAAACATATGATGGATTTCAATAGCTGTCAACCATCAATGTAGCAGCAGAATTTATTATATTTCTGTATGCATGATTCCATATAAGATACAAATATTTGCAATGGAAATCAAATTTTATATTTTTAATTCATAATAGTATAAATTTTGTTTGGAAACATTATTCATTAGTCCAGCATTTGCTGTGTTGTGGTTCAATCATACCAAATTACGTAGAGAAGAAACAAATCTTTGAATAGAGAGAAAAGAGTAAGAAACAATTAAATTTTTTCTCTTACTCCTTATAGTTCTAAAAAAGGAATGGAAAAAAAGTGGACATGCATTTAATGTAGTTAAACTCCATAATTTTATGTGAGTGATTAAAAAAAAAACAGTGATTTATATTTTAAATAATCAAATGATTCA